CGGAGGTTAGGGTAAGCTTGACTCTTCGTTTAAAGCCAGGTCGAGCTCGTTTCTGGTAGACGTCGCGAAATCTAGAGCTTAGACCAAGGGTTACAAGTGCTTTGCACATCTTTCATGTTTGTTGTCATTATTTAAAGGACGGTTAATTGAGAAAGACTTTAAAGAGGCAATAAATGAAGTATGTATTGTGGATAATTAAAGTCTCTTTTTCATTGCTGACCTACGAGTAGTAATTGTTAGCAAAAAGATGATAACATTATTTGTATCACTTGAAATACTAATTCTGTCGTTTCATTTTAAGTATAAACACTTTAATAATCGCAGTAAGCTTAAGTTAAATTATTAACTTCTTTCTGATGGGTTTTCACAAAACCATTAAAATTTTCCGTAACCAAAGGTGCAGTACTAGCTTATGTTCATGTATGGATAAACTCCCGGGTGGCTCAGGGCCAGCATGCTATATCTAATCCTTTAAACGAGCTAGCAATTCTTGTATATATATATAATCGTAATCTCGGAAACGGCTCCAGCGATTTTCATGAAATTTTGAATGTGCGTAGATTCGGGGGCGAAAAATCGATCTTCAATCAATGTCCTTCGATCCTCCTTTTATTCCTGTTTTCAGGGAATGAAAAATATCATTCAAATATGACAGTAAATTTCGCCGCAAAAAAATGTTATAATAGCTCGGTCGGTAATCAGACGGCAGACGGCCGTGGTTCTTATCACGATCATTTACACACTTATTTTTTTTACTTTTTTTTCTATATCAGATCATTTTCTTTATTTTTTTTTATTTCCAAAATACATGATTTACCAAAAAAATACCGAGCAAAGCTCGGTCCTCCAGATGCTAATGTTTTATGCCTTAAGAGATGTCACAGTTCATATGCAAGTTATTTGTTTCTACAATTACTTTTATATTACAATGCAAAGAAAAGCAAAAGCATAAAGCATCGTCGCGTGTGCATTAAACATAACACTGTAACCCGATCCTGGACTAGTCCAGTAACTAGATCCTGATCGTGCTAAAGGTAACGAATTGTTGAAACCATACGTCGACGGTAGAATTTCATGACGACTCACGATCCTATTTTCTTGGATTTGACTTTCTTTTAAAAGACACTTTCAGGTGTCTTTGAACATGGCAGTTCAGTGCAGGGCGTTACAATTTTAAGATCCAACACTAATAAAATTTATATTGCCGATTATTGTGCAGATAAGCCATTCATCTCAGTGGCTAGAATGTCGGGCGCATATCTCGAAGGATGCAGGTTCAAATCGTCGCAGCGGCAAAAAACTTTTCGTCCATTTTCCTACAAATTTTAAAAGCTAAAAGACTTGAGTCCACTGCTGACCATAGCCCAACCCAGTACCGTCACGAAGCACAATCCTGAGCCACCTGCATCATCTACTTCCCGCACACTTGCACAGATCGTCACTCCATCCAGTAAGGGGATGTGACTTTCCTCCCCATCGGTTATCGGTTCTTCACTATATTATAAGAACAAAATCAGTGCTCCAAATTCGCGTTGCGCCGACATACGTCAACGGAAGTCGAGACATTACCACAAGCCTTGAGCTACGATCGTGTCATACGGATCAAAATAAATAAACGCGAACCCCACACAACGGTGTAGCGTCCGACGCTGGAGCTCAATTGTCTTCCAACGTGGCCTTTATCGCCGTGCGAGAAGGAGCACAATCGCGAGGGCGATAAGGGTGGTAATCGCCCGTAGAGAACGCGCCACGGACCGATTTGCGCAAGACGGACCTCCCCTTGACACGGTTACGCGAGCCAGTGTCGGGCCATCAATCATACTACGCTGTGTGGCTTTGAATTCCAATATTAGTTTCCACTCTATACCCTTTTCAATTTCTTCGATCCTCAAATGTTACGTCTCTCTTGGGGAAAAGACATCGTTGGTGTCGAGGTTCTTATGGTGCTCTTTCGTGTTGTCGTCAACACACATCGTGATCCCCCTATTCAACACGGCAGAGACTACATGGTATAGTCTGTGGGATTCGAAACTATCCACTTAGTTGGGACAGGTTTTTAATTACCTTTAAGGTTCTTATGTTTTCAAAGATCCTTCAAATTCTTAGTGCTCTCGACATTTACATAGGATCCGTGTAAATTGTGTTATTTCTGGACCCATCTATGCCGTCAGGTTGTATTTTTCAATAAGATTACGCCTCCACGGAAGGCTGTCGGAACGAGAAGCTGGAGGCAAAATTTATTGTCTATCGGAATGCTCGTTAATATATTGTTTTAAAATTTAATGAGAAAATCCATGCAAAGACTGTATTCACTTTGGATAAAATTTCGAATGGTGTTAGCTCTTTTACTGGATTGACGTAGTTATTTTTCAGGGCATTGAGTAAATTATAATTGACATAGTTAACCACGAATAGACAATATGATAGATCGACACAAGAAACGACGGTAAAAATGCAACAAACCGACTCGTCGCTGTAGCAACAGAATTTCCAATAGACGCACTATTGAAAATTACATTGCGCGATTTGGTAGTCCATGGTGTTGGCTTTTGGTAATTTTTGTTGCGAAACGATTACAATTACGAAGCGCAGCTTTGGCAACTAAATTGAACGCCTGCTTTAACAATACCTTTCACTTCATTGTTATAACAGTTCTAAGGGACATCGTTAGGCATTAACCGTTCGAAATTTTGCAACAAATCAGTTACAACTGGCTGAAAACGAATACGTATAAATATACATGCCCATGTTAATGCGAGACAGGACCTCCAGGAATATTTCATTTAATGCCTAATTTGCACTTGTAGAATCGAATGGATTTATATTATAAAACATAACATATCAAAAGTTGGCGAGTAAATTAAGACATACATTTCAGTCTTCAATTATACTTTTATAAAAAAAAAATTACACAAATATAAATTGGTATTATTGTTTTTTTTTTAGATTTCTTATATTGGATGTTTGCATGTATTCCAGGTAAACCCACGAATAGGCTCATAATTAACATTAATATAGACCGTGATTGAAATCAATTAGAATATGAGTGAAGAGTGTAAAGAGAGCGAGAGAGAGGCTGCCCTCAGATACCAAGTCTTAAGCCTGAGCTTGCCTACCGAACTAACACTCGCACATTTTATTAATACGCGTTTTCAGGATTATAGCCAAAGTTTAAGAAGTTGGTTGTAAATTGAATTTGAAGGTTTAGTTACGCCGTTGGACGCGTACAGACACGCAGATCGAGATAATAAAAGCTTGTAACGAATAAGTCGACGCACTATCGCGAGGATTCCAATACAAGTCCACGGCAGGTTCGCAGAGGCTAGGGCTGCGAGTAGCTATCAACAGATGTGAATCAATTTACGACGGATCCCGCACAAGTGGTCCCGTCGAATGTTATGATCGGGCAACATTGTAAGTGTACGTACATCGGCTTCTATACTGACACACGACGTCCATCATTCGTTCGTGTCGTCTGGTTTCGCGACATCGGACGCTAAACTTTTTTTTAATTCAAAACTGGCCAGCGCTTGACTGCTACCTGATGGTAAGTGATAATGCAGCGGTTTAGGTTAGCGCGCTAGCTCAGTAGAAACCTAATAAATAAATAGTAAACTAAATAGTACATTGGCGGCGGATCTTATATTAGTGAATCAAGAAGAAACGATATCTGAAGTGAACAAGATGCGAAATCACCAAACTGTTAGGAATCGGTCGCTTTATCGACTAAATCACTTTTGCTTTTTTGTCAATTGGGTCGGCTACAACGTGACAATAACATATATTTGAATGTGAAAATCTGTTTGCTCCTATTTGTTTAATCGTCAGGCCGTACGAAATTTGAAATGGAGATATTAACACGTTTATTTTGGGACCTCGCCGCATGATCGAGGTTTAGGCGTGCTTGCGATTATAAATAAAATTTAAATCCAATGAATCCGATGGGTCCATGTTGCAAAAGTGATAGCAAGTTTAACACCGTGTTTCTGCAATAATATAGGGTGGGATTAAAAAATGAGGTTAGATGTTTTGATCTCCCTGAAAGCTTAGGAAACGCTGATCGACAAACCAGAGGGCACAGCCGTCACTATATATAAATTACGATTAGGTCAACGTGATAATAATTTAGAGGGAAATTTCGAAAGCAGTTATAATTATTATTATTCTATTATAACGACCCAAATCCCGACCTTAAACGATATAACGATGTTAAACTAACAATTAAACTGGCAGTGATTGCCCTGAATATAGCCATGGGTACCAACGATATGGCACTGTTTAGTGGTATGTCAATTAATAGATGTAAGGCCATTTTTAACCGGTTCACTAACAACATATAATTATCGTGCAATTTTTATGATTTTACATGTTGCCAACATTTTTCTTAAAATAAAAAAACAATGTTTGCAGTGGATTATCCTTATCACTTAGGGGTAAAAAACTAGATAACGATCGATTCTCAGACTTAGCAAATATACATAAAAAAATCATTAAAATCTACGAAGCCGTTTCAAATGGGTATGGTGACTTACAATATACTTTTATACAGCGTGTCGTTACCATCGCGACAATAAACGAACACACGTCTAACGCTACTTGCATAATAATCATAAAAAAATATTAACGTTAAACAAAATCCATAATAAAAAAAAATATGTTTCAAACAAACTAATTAAGTAAAAAAGAAACAGAATCTGTAACATCCTATACAACTCGCGCCATTGCGTCGAAGAATTAGTGAATTACAAGCCTCTCCTTCTAACAGTATGTTTTGTCTCTTTTAAATTCATTCAACCCATTCATATGCTTTGTGACCTTTATAAATGAACTTTACGTTACGCTTTTATAGGTAAGGGTGTTCTAAAATTCTTTGTTTTGGAAAATTTAATAACTGTGTAAATATTGATGTTTAAAGAATTTAAATGTTTAATACAACTTTAAAAATTTACTGTCGCGATGGTAACGACACGCTGTATATATAGATTTAAAGATCCACTTACCTAATATTAGGTGTAGCTTCGCGTCAGTCTGGAAGGCGTAATGCAATGTCACCAGGAAAGGGCAGGCTCGAACCGCCTCTAACACCTGGAGACAACAACGATACAAGTGAGAACGGCGAAGTCAAAGCTACATAGATAAACGGGCACCAACTTCAGTACGGTCTTGAATTGATCATGGACGGTCTTAAAGATAAAAGACCAAGAATTAACAAAAGTAAATGCATGTGACGCATCAATGTATTTCCTCCCACATTAATTTCGTCTAAATCTGTTGTGAATCAAGAACAATTTTAACTTTCGTTTGTGTTGTGACTTCTTGCAGTGACTAAAAGATATTTAATTGTAGTTTTCATTTGGATTCCGCTTTTAAATATTATGTTAACAGAGAAGAGTCGTCTGCATTAATAAGTAAATACTAAATTGCTCACAGCACATAAATATTGCATATCCGATGAAAACTAAAATTTCAATAAAACTCCGGATGTCATAGCATTTCACTTTGGCTCCAGAATTTTGGTGTGCTTTACAGCACTCAACTCACAATCAACTTGAGACTTAATGACGACTTTAAAATCCACCGGAATGTTGAGAGATAGAAAACGTAGTTCGGTTTAGTGAAAAAAAAAAAAAATACTAGTACAAATACTAGGTAGTCATATTTAAATGTGCTTTCATTTCACTACGAGTATAAGTAATCATATTTTTATCGCAGCACTTTAATTAAGTGGTTAATAAATAATTGTGTCGAAGATTTGTTTATTAAAAATATATGTGTGTTTGAATTTAATAAGAGTTAGCCTAAATTTAGGCAGTGTTGCAATACTTTTACTATATAAAAGTAGTCATCCTTTTAACTAAGACCACTTCAAAAATTACTATATATACCCGAGGGCTTAATGGATAGCGGACCTATCTCTTGCGCCAGAGGGTGTGGGTTCAATCCCTGGTAAAATATGGTGTCTGGTGTCTGAAGAACATAAGTGTTTCTCTAATGTAAAAGTTAAAAATTCAAGGGCCATTGAACGTGTCCAATATATCAAAGCGTCTAGTCGTCATAATTTGGGAGTTAAAGAGCATTAAAATGTAAATTGACTCACAGTTAAAAATTCACCGCATAAAAATTAAATCGTTATTTAATATAGAACTATAAAATGTGCAGTCAACGACGACGGTTTCGATTTAAATTAAAAGCGACCGGCTTCCAATAACAGCTATCACATATAGCATGCAATGTGAACTGGTTTCTTTTTCGCTTGCAGTTCACGTGATGTTAACATTAGTTGAGCTGCTGAACTTCAAGAGGGCAGGCGCGACTACCTCACTCACACCGAGAAGTGATGAACAGACGATTTGCCAACCTGGAGTGAACTCTGATTATTTCGCTAACGGGACGAGTATAAATTCAACTAGTATTCTGAAGAGTATGGAACTATTGGACGACCGAGGGACGCCCTTTGTAAACCTTGTTTAAGATAATTGCAACAATATATAAAAATATAAAGTAGCACCCTATACATGTCCCACAGCTGGGTAAAGGCCTCCTTTGTTGTTGTAGTAGTAGTTTGACAATCAATAAATAAATAATGGGCAAAATTCACATATCTTCAAAATATTTTTTGTTAACATTTCGAACATATGCGGGTTTCCTTCCTTCCTTCCTTATGTTTTCCTTTCCTTCATTATGTTTATCTTCACCGCTGAGCACGTGATAAGTCAGCACTTAACATTAACAATATCATTAGTGCTGGCACCGGGTTTTGAACTCAGGTTGACCCAAACCCGTAGGTTCTGGCTAGCCCACCGGTTCTGCGTCCGATGAAGCTTTAATAGTCTCGGGACTGAAAGCAAAAACATCAGTTAATACAAGATACAAGACTCAGGTTGCTCGAGTATAGTTACGGATTAAAAGCGAGACTGAGCTATTACGGCTCCTATCAATTAATAAAATATAAAAAAAATCTGTATAAATTTTGATGATTACTTTTTATAAGATATTTATTATTTTGTATTGAATTAAATTTATCCTTCGTGAAGACAATTACATGAATAAAGCGTAAAATGTGGATTTTTTTTATGTGATGTGATATGTGAAACCTGATATTAGATGATTATCCCCGCCCAACGACATCTATAAGACCTGATAAGATGCAGATGCGTTGCCCACTTTAAAAAAAAGATAGAAGAAGCCCTTGGTGTGTATCGATCGGTTCAGCGACACACAGGGGGAGGGCGTAGCATAAGTCAATGTATAATTATACACGTTGCAGAGGCGAAAGGGGAGCGCTAAGATTTTAGAAAATCGTCACATCAAAACAAAAGATATTGTATGAGGACATTCCACAGAAGACCCACGTGAAGTAAAAGTATTGTTTTTTTTTTAATGTGAATAAGTGACAAACGAGCTGGCGGTTCAGTGATAACCGCCCTCCGCAGACATTTTCAACACCGGTTGCAGATGTGCTGCCACCTTTTAAAATGGGCCCCGGCTACCTCACTCACCGGACGAAACTTAGAAGTGTAACACTTCTACTTTACGCCGGTCTTCTGTGAGGTCGTGGTACTAACCCGGACGATCCTGCCCATTCGTGCAACAGCGTTGTTGGCAACCTACTGTTTCCTACCACTTGTATTTTTTATTCGTCTTGTGAGTTATGTGACCCAGGCCCACTGTTTTTAAAGGTTGGCAACGCGTCTGCTGTTGTTGATGTCTTTGGGCGGAGGAAAACACGTAACATCAGGTGAACCGACAGCTCGCTTTCCAACTTTTCACGTAAAAAAATCTTGCCTTGATATATTTGACATTTACACCAGACTGAAACCTCAAGAATTGTTTATGAACTAAACAATTTTTTTCCCGTATAATTGAGCAGCGGAGAAGGGAAAATGAAAAACGACGTAGTTCACTAAGTATCCAACACCAATTGTCTCCGTTAGGAAAGTTCTTAATTTTAGAACTAAGCAGAATTGAAGTAATTTTACGCATTTCGGAGAGTTCGCTATAAATTTACAGTTCAAGTTATAAACACGATAAGTACCGTTAAATAAGTTTCACTCGTGGAGCGGAGCGTTCTTTAGAAACTTTATGACATTCGAAGAATCCCTGCGAAATTAAAAAAGGCAAAAAGCGAAGAAGACAGACTACAACGGCATTCCACGAGATGAATTCAAACCAAAAATAATCTGATTATTCGAAAAAAGAAATATGTTTAACATTTAACATTTTAAATAAAATTTGTAGGTGTAGGAATCGGCTTAGTGGCTAAAGGGTCAGGGCGCGAATCCCGAAGACGTGGGTTTGATTTCCACTGCGGCGAAAAACTTCTCGGCCTTTTTTCTACAAATTTTAATGTGTAGTGTTAATCTTAAGTGCAGAGATAAGCACTATAAATATAAACGTTTTTTTTTTTACATAATTTTGTAACTGAAATTTGAACATGACGTAGTGAAAAGAGGGTCAATCCTACAAACAGGAAACTGACGTAGGGTTGCATCGACATCGGATCCACCAGGCGACTGGATAGTTAAAGTAACCCATCTGCAGTTACTTGACTCCACAGAGTCAGTGACTCGTTCATGGTACACGCTTCTACAACAAAATCCCAGTTAATGTGCAAAGCCTATCTATTAACAGGTTAAAGAAATTTATTAAGAAAAAAGAAAAATTAAAGAGTACATTAAAGATAATAAGACAATAACACCTGGGAATGAGATGGTCGCTCCTAAGCTGTTTCTAAATTAAAAAAATTGTACTGTATAACTATGTAATTGTTTGACAAAAAAGTGGATAACTACGGAGTTTCTTTCGCCTTAGATTTAGTTTCTTCTCCGTTAGAGGAACCTCATTACGAAACGGTGGTAGATTAAAAAAATGACTACCGATAGATGGAATGTATATTTCTTATTTCGATGAATAAATGATTATTTTTTCAGCACAGGCATTATATAGGTAACAGTGGTAGGGCCACGTAGGTCCATCTGGGGAAGTACCACGAACTTACATACGAACTTCGTGAACTGGATGTGTTATACTTCTGCGTTTCGTCTGATAGGGTAACCCTAGGGGTGTTGCAAATGTCCATGGGCGGCGGTTATCTCTTAACAGGAAACAGTACGGCACGGATGTCTACTTAGGAATTCAATTTGGGAAGAAAACATTTACAATGGATGTTTTTTTGGGGTGTAAATTCAAACTGAAACGTCCTAAGCGTTTTTCATTTACGAAGTTTCGGTTTGAATTTAGTGAGTTTAGTGAATTATAAGTTTTTGAACTACTTTAGGAATATTTTTTTTAACAGTTGGTAACACTGCAGTACGGACTGACCTGTCGTTCCGTCCGCGTGTGCTCGGCCGTCTTCAGTTTCTGAACTATAGACGCCTTCTTGAGGACCTTCATCGCGTACAGTTTGCCCTCGTCGACGCCACATCTCTTCCGAACTAGGAATACCTTGCCATAAGCTGAAACAAGAGGAATCTAAATTAATACGATGACTACGAGGTGCAATTGTCAAGGTATACGCTTCGGCGCCGGGGGTCGTGTGTTAAAAAGTCCTTACAACACATGATATGTGTGTAATGTAATCCTACAATAAGCGAAACGTTTAAAAATATACATAAGCCGTATTCGAGTGTTATGTCTGAACCAAATGTTCCTTTATTTGTCTTTAAATGTCTTGCCACAAGATAAGGTGTACATTGTGAGTTCATCAAAACTATAATTAAAAAAAAAAAAAAAACATTTCGACTTTAAAGGTTTCTTGTCGCAATAACTTTATACAAGTAACATACAGACAATATTATACGACAAATGTTTTATATAGAAGTCATTGCGAATTGAATTTCAAAATAATTACAATATGTAATACTCCAATTAATCGATTGTCATGTAAAAAAATAACAAATTGTCGATTTTACAATGTTAAGTCAAAACGGTAATGGAGCGGCATCTAATTGATTAGTTAATAATAAACACAATAATTGGTGTGTAATTGTGTGTGTAAATTAATGTTAATTATCGACATTTAACGTAACGTCTTTATTACACAATACGTCGCTCCTTGTTCGTTTGCCTCTTTTCTCCATAAAAAAATAAAAATAAAATAAACAATACAACAAATAACATCAATAGACACATAATGTTAACAAGTAAAAAGGCATGTATGATTTTTATGGTGAGTAGAATGAAACATATTGATTAAAAAAAATGAAGTAATTAGGTTGTTCACATTAATTACCAAATCGTTATTCTTTAATCCTGTTTTGCAATTAGGAGAAATTAATAAAATAGACATTTTAATAGCACTAATTTACAAATTTTATCGTCGCTCATTATTAACTTTAACTCCCTGCTTTTGGAAATATTTTATAGCATAATACAGTTTTCGGAATATTTCGAGTAGTTTAAAGTAATATGTTGTAATCGTGTATATTTACCAAATCATTATCTCACAGACAAATAGTCTGCAGAATTATCATTACATTTAATACGTTTACACATTTTATTATTAAGTTTATGATTAGTTTTGCAATAATGTGTGGGTTCGATTTCCATATCTAAATTTGTTATGACTACATTCTTGGTATTTTTTTTTTCATTTAACCAATAGTTACTTACTACCATAGACACTTGACACAAAATGGAAATGCATTTAAGAATTTCCAAGAAAGGAAATAAATCCTAAACAACAGTTCTCCTCTATTTTCAGTGCATTTGATGTTCACAATTTAGACACTTGCCAAAGACTTCGCCAAAAGGCTGTCCTATTAAGATAATGTATATACCACACGAATGACGCAATGGTATAAGAGCTCGCGAAAATGCTATCTCGCGCCGTATATTGTGGGTTTCATTCTCACGCGGGCAAAAAGTAAACACATGATACCCAAAAAATTATTACAAGTCTACGTGTAGTCCCCCCCCCCCCTTCTCCCACCGCCCCCTCTTCCCAAAGGTATCATTCCCTGCTGAGGGGGGTCGTTTTCGTTACTTTAAAAAAAACAGTAAAGTAAAGCTACCTAAGTTACAAACGATCAGAATCCCGATAGTAATTTTAAAACGACATCACGGACCGCTTTTCGAAGAGAGTTCAAATTAAAAAGAGTAACAATAAGAACCGACTGTCTTTCCTAACCGTTACGACCTGGGAACCTTCAAGAACAGAGCATAGTCTTTCCTAAAAGGCAGGCAACGCATTTGTAAGCCCTCTGATGCAGCAGGTGTTCATTGGCGGCGGTGATCACTTACCATCAGGTGAGCCTCCTGCTCGTTCGCTCCCTTTCCATAAAAAAGAGCGCAATAGTCAAGTGCACCAGATCGAACTGCCAGCCCTGTTGGCAGAAGACTGAACAACCCTCCCTTCAGGTCGAACGGAGTCTTCGCATCGGAAAGTGTTACTCGATTGTGTGTCGACGTCGATCGAGCGATTATCGCCTTTACGGTACGGCGATACGGTGCTTTATTGTTCGCTTCTGCACGAGAATCAGGAAATCGTAAGAGGATGCAATCTGGCCGCGATAAGATGTTTCCCAGCCCAGACGAGTTCGAACGCATTAAGGTCAGAACGTATTGCACCGGTTTCAATGTGAAGATACGCGATTGATGGATAGGTTATAAAGATATAGTTTCTATTTAGATATTAGGTATGTGGGTAGGTAAAGTGGTAGCTCAGTGCTCTCGCTTTGAGTTGGGTACACATGCCGGTAGCAATAAAATTGTTACTTGCTATTTGAATAAATGTTAATTGTTGTAGAGAAAAATGGCGTGGAAAGTTCTGATAACAGATACAGTTCAATGGAATTGACACAGTCAAATAGTCCATCGGAATAAGGTTTAGAATTCGAATATAACACAATATTTTCCTAGTGGTAAGGATCGAACCAACGCTCTATAGCACAAGAGACAGGTTCACTGTTCACTGTCCACTACGCGAATCAGGCCGATTTCGGCTGAGATTATAATCTCAGATGAAACCAAACTTTCAACCAATAAATTAAAAACTCGATGCACTTGCTACTAAAATGACCGGTACGTGTGAAGTAAAAAAACCGAAACCTCGATCCGAAATAGGTCACTGACTAACAATTCAAATAATGCTCCTTATAATTTTTGACAAAAAAAACTAATTTAATTAAAAAAAAAAAGACTTCAAACCGAAACCAAAAAAATTGTTAATACCTACAACATTTGAGGATTTCCCTCGATTTTTCTGAGATGCTATCATCAGATCCAGGTTTCCTTGTCATGGAAAGGAGATATCCCAAGGTTGGCACCCCCTCTCTCCTTTCCAACAAAAAATGAATCATCAAAATCGGTTCATAAACACGAAGTTATCCGCGAACACACGAAAAACAAAAATATATATATATATACGATCGAATTGAGAAACGCTCTTCTTTTTTGAAGTCGGTTAAAAATCGCTCATAAAAACTGTAAACACGACGTCTGTTGGCAGCATCGCAAACGTTCGATTCGATTATGAATGTCATCACTATCGGAGGATCCTGATTTATGTGTACATCAGGCGGTTATCGCAGGGTGGTATTATATCAAACGATTATATCAAACCCAGTGGCATGCACCTTTGATTCTTTTCAGATTTCTTGCGTTCCCAAATCGCTAACAAAAATTACTACCCCACGTGGAGCGACAGCGCGCGGTCTACATGGCTCGATCTAGTTAGTATACCTCAGACGGGTCGAGTCGGGGTCGAACTTGGACCTCACGTTGCGTAAGGTCCAAGTTCGGTAAAGACTATGCAGATACAATCCGTGACATGAAAAGCAGACAGAGACAATGGAAAATACAAAGGAAACAGATATCAGAATCACTTCACATTATTTTCGATACAATGCGATACGATAAAGAAATTAAATGTCATTGTTTAAGTGATTCTATCACATCTCATCGTGATAGAATATTGTGAAGGATATATATCGTCCATCGATTACATATCCTTCGCAATAATCACCATCTGAGTGACAGGTCATATACATATTCAGACTAAAATTTGCACAATCATTATTATTCCTATTTCCTGTTAAAGGTACAAAGTTAATTTCTATAACCTGATAGCAAGCAGTTAGTAATCGATCGCATAAAAATCATATCCACACAAACATGATTTATTTATTTATTTTATACATCAATTTACAACTATCATTACAGGCTGTACCTAATGCGATAGTGAAGTTCGAATACAGTTCGGTACATGATGTATTTCTGTTACCGCTTTAACAACAAAGTACCTGGAGGTTTTTTTTTTTTTGGTAAGTCGTGTATTTTGGAAATTATATTTAGATAAAAATTACTGAGTAATGAAATATGCATAATATTTTTCGATCTTACCGACGTAATAATAAGAAAATATGAACTGATATTTTTCACAAAAGAAAAAAATTTTAAAAAAAGGAAAAAAAATAACAAAATAAAAAATCGACAAAAAATTAAAAATAAAGTAAGCAATGACCTGGAATAAGTATAAAAAAGTAAAAAAAATAAGTGTGTAAATGATCGTAACACGAACCACGGCCTTCTGTTTCGGGGCCGCCCGATTACCGACCGAGCTATTATGACTTTTTTTTTCGATGAAATTTACCGTCGTATTCGAATAATATTTTTCATTCCCTGAAAATGGGATAAAACGACATTTTCACAACAAGAATTGCTCGTTTAAAGGATAAGAGATACTAAAAAACAGAATAAAAAAATTTATAGTGGGGCTCACATACAGCAGACATGATTTTTTGTTGCCGTTTTTATAGATGGTATTATAATGGCACGGAACCCTTCGTGCGCGACTCCGAGTTGCACTTGGCCGGTTTTTATTTAAAATATCTTTACGCGCGTTGGGTGCCGATTTTGGATGGGCAAAACCTTCAAGGTCGCTTCATCGACATGCCAATGTCAAAAGTATACAAATGTGGCCATTACTATGACGAATAGCACGTACAATTTGCGCGTTCGATGCCTTTTCAAATTAATGACGATAATTATCATTATCAACCAACAATGAAAATAATGATGAAATTAAGCTTATGGAATTTTTTTATGGAAAATACAAATCGGCTTATACAAACTCCCGCGACACAGGTATTATTTCCTAAGCATTAAATCTTACGCTCATTCTATAACATAAGAACCTTGGCAACCCCATAAATATGGTTTATATTGATGCATATCTTTGTCTATTTTAAAATAGTAAGTGATCAACATATATATTATATTATAATATTTGAATATACATCACATTGCGTTATATGGTCTACTTGTAATCCTAGAAGAGCTAATAAAAACGGTGGATTGGGACATTTTCGATGGAAACACTTTCACGACTCCCGTAGGGTTGACTTTAAACATCTTTGGGTAAAAAATTAAGAATTCTTGGACGAGGTCCCATTGACCGAAATCTAACAACTTAGGAACAAGATTGCCGGTCTCTGGGTATACTTACTATACAATTTGGGCAGTTTTACTATCGCGCGGGGAGTTTTACCATCGCTACCACCTCGTTGGTTGGCGGTCCACCGCTGTGCGTTTCTCGCGTTATTTTTTTTTATGTGAAAATTTGCCAAGCGAGCAGACGCTTCATCTTATTTTAAGGGAAAATCGCCACCCATGGACATTTGCAACACCCGTAGGGTTGAAGATGCATTGTCACGTTTTAATAAAGTGGGCCCCGGTTACCTCACTCACCAGACGAAAGGTAGAAGTAAAACGATTCCACTTCACGCCGGTCCTCTGTGAGGTCGTCCTTCTCCGGACGGACCTGCCCATTCGTGCAACGGCGGAGACTGTTGCGTGGCCCTAACACAGTAAAAAGTACATGCGCGCCTGAGCATACTCTGTATCTTTACCTGACAATGATACCTGGAGGTGTGTATACTCTTTTTCCCAACCAGAAATAGAACCGCGTCTCTGTTCCATTGTCGCGCTATATATAGCACAACGTAATAGCAGCGCGGCTATGTCGCATTCGTGAAACAATACGAGAGGGGCCACAATTGCAACTCGCTTTGTCTCAGCATCCGACTAGCGGCGAGCGCTTCATTGTGGTGGAACGGACACCGAAATTTTCTAATGCTTAGTTGTTTTTTTTTAAAGGGAGATGGCAAATGAGCCGGCAGTTCTATCGATGTTAAGTAATTACCATGGTACTTGACAATTGGGTTGCGGTTGCGTTGTAAAATAACAGCCTACTGCTGGGCAAAGCCTCCTCTATACAAAGGACATAGGTACGCGACTACACTGTGGATTAGCATTACGTACAATGATAAACTAAGACCTGAGCAATTCCGAATCTAAGCGGCGATGCATTTTCTTGTGAAATAACCTAAGACCTTGCCTTAGTCTACTTCTCTTACATAATTTTCATATACCAAGAAGTATACGTACAATGATAAACTAAGACCTGAGCAATTTAATCTTCAATTTTCTTGTGATGTTTTCTAGATGTATAAAAATATGTATTCTTAGTCCCAACTACTTTATCTTCAACATGTCCGTTACAAATTGAAAATACTACATATAATGTAAATCCGTTTTTGGCTATATACTTATTTTAGAATATAAAATAATATAGAATATATATATATTTTAGATCATAAGATGTGCGTACGATGTAACAAAGAGCTGTGTGAGAGCTGCAGATTT